CCCCACCCGTCCATCCGTGCGGGCACATAGACGCCACCCCGTACGCCACCACACGAAAACGTGCCAAGTGCTGCTTCTTGCGAAGAAAGGGCATATTGATTAAATAAGGATTCTTATCTATTTGTCAATATACCTTTGGCTTCTTCTTACGCGCCGCTAGCATACAGTACACACTCCCTGAGCGCATTGCAACCCGTCGTGACCCCCGGTCTACTGACCGAACAAAACAAGCCACGGCAAGCTTGCTTGGCAAGCTTTCTTGTCGTGGTATACACCTAACAAAGCGGCGTAATAGCAGTGCAAGAAGCACCAACATCTACCCTCCTCGCCACCATACCTACACACCCAACCGTCATCTGACCTACAAATACTTGACTATTACAGTGAAGAGACGCTCCCTTAAACACGGAGCCAATCGAAAAAACCCACCAATAACATAACCCCTTTTGAGAGATCACAGGAGACAAATATACGGACACAGCGCACGCACACTTGCTTACTTGCCAACACAGGCGTGGCGCGGGTGAATGACTTTTCCTTTTTTGCTCTCGGTTCTGTGTCTTTTCTTCTCCTTGGTTGTAGCCAAAGCCACAAAGCAAAGAGGACAAACTTGTTTTTTTTTTTACAAAAAACGTTTAATAGTCTACACATGTTGCTGCCCGCCCCCGCCCCACCCGTCCTACGATAAAAGAAAAACATTTGTGGCACGCAGTTCGCTGATTGGTCAACGCACCTGCGGCGGAAATTCGAAAATTCAAAAAAAAAAACAGGGGGGGAGGGGGGCAGCAGTGAGGCCGAATCCGAAAGCCACGAAAGCCACCCGTAACTACGATACAAAACGCACAAAACGTACAAAACAAACGTACATAAAACACTGATGCTTCAACAAAAAAAGAAGAAAAAAAAAAGTGAGGAAAGGCAGAAGGATACAACGAGAAATAAAGAGTTCTGGAGCGCGGAAAACGAAACTCCGCCCGAGACACGAAGAGCGAAAAAAATAAATCAACGTTTTTATCGATTTCGTCCAAGGTACAAGCATACGGAGAGAAAAAGTCCTGATCATCTAGAAAAGTTCCAACAAGCCACCCCTCCCAGCAACACCCGGGTATTAATTACCCTCGAAGGCGACCACATACTGCCGTGTTCACGTTTGGAACGCCGACAATTTTCCAAAGGGAGTGTTCCTTCGAATCCCGACCGTAGATTCTGAGGTCGTACCCGAAATCGGTGGCTACTCGTGCACCTATTTATGTCTTCTTTTCCTTCGTGGGGACTCCGATTGGCTCTTCAACGACACGCGGTGTGTACCCGTACCGCTACCGGACAGGCTTCTTGTAGATAATGGTACGCCGTGCGGAAACAGTGCTGTGAAAACCGGTCCGAAGTAGAAGCTGGTACATCACAGCCGGGCGCGTTCCCCACCACCATTTCTTGTAGGGCGTGCTTTTCGGCAGGCAAACCCCCCCGAAATAAACCATAATGCCAAATCGACAACTACCTCTTTCTGACGAAACAAAAAAAAAATGCCTCCCAATCCGAAAAAAAAAAAAACTCTCGAGGGGTCTCGTGACTACGTCACGTGCCCCACCCCCGCCCCTCTTTCGTCCACCCAGTCCCCTCCAAGCGTCCGTTCACGTTTCTAGAGGAGAGTAAGCAAAGAAAAGTCGAAAATAAAAAAAAACTCGTGCTTTCTACTTCTGCAAGGGAGGTCTCGCAGTTATTCCTCATGCATGACCAAAAAGCGAGAGAGCCGTGGAGGGGCCCCCGCGGGAAATCAAGTAGAGCAAACCGTTCTCCAACGCCCGTCAAGGATTTCCAACACAACATTAAGGGAGTGGGTTCGTGTGTGTCGGGCAAACAGACATGCCTTGCGGGTTGGCGGGCGGAACAGAAAAAAAAAAAAAAAGACGACGACGACAAAAAAAACAACACACACAAACCAAACACGGAAACCAAACACGGACGCTAGTATGCATATACATACGTACACACACGTTATATTGTAGATTCTGCTTGTCGGTCTACAGTAGCAGCAGCAGCAGCAGCAGCAGCAGCAGCAGCAGCAGCAGCAGCAGCAGCAGCAGCAATCTACAAGACCAGGTCGTTCGTGATAACGAGCCAGTCCGTGGTGGCAGTGGTGACGTCACCCGAGGCGGCCGTGGTGCTCGCGGAGAAGCCCACCACAACGCTTGAGACGGCGGTCCATTCGGCAGGGACGAAGGTGGCCCAGGCCACTTCGAATTTCAACCTTTTCGGAAAAAACGAGCAAGGGGAGATACGAAGACGTAAAAGGGGGGGGGGGGGGTCGGAAAGAGGTGAATTTTGATGAAATAGGGTGGGGACCGCGGTCTATCGTGACCCACACGGACAAGCGGGACTTTTTTTTCTGGTCTCGTCACCGCGAACAAAAACCACGAAATTTAACTCGAGCCATTGCCATGACAAGAGCGACCAGACAAACCTTTAACGTGGGCGGCCACCACGGGCGATGCCAACCAAGACCAAGCACACCGCAGATCATCGCATACGTGCTCACGCACAGAGGCGTCAAGATGGACATGGGCGTCACCTGCAGACCGATGACCTTGCCAACATTACATCAAGCCCCGCCCGCTCCGACCTCGTCTCACCAACAGACGGTAGCAGATGGGGCTTCTTTCTCCACAATGCTCAACTATTTACAACTCAGCAGCACTGAATAGACCGAATGCTTCATTCGCCGCGGGCTCACGTCAACATGGAAATGACCTTTCTTTCTTTTTTTCCTTCCCGTGTGCGTGTGTACCTGTGTCTAACAAAATTTTGCACACACGATAAGGCCGGACGTCACTAAATAGTCAACGCCCACGGCGCGAACCGCAAAAACACGGAAATGCATCTTCGCGCCCTTCCCCCCCTGGCCCGGCCCGGCTCTCCCTCCCTCCCTCCCTCCCTCCCTCCCTCCCTCCCTCCTCACCTGTTGCTGCCGGTCTGCCAGCCCTCGTCAGGGTCGGGAATCGCCGTCGAGAGGGTGCTCCCCTCCGCGTTCTCTAACGAGAGCACGGAAGGGGTGTTGCTCGTGTTGTCGAGGGTCACGGACAGCCTGCATGCGCATACGTTAGAGGGACACGCTTCGGTTGGTCGTTTCGGAGCGAGCAATGGAACGCGGCTGAAACGTTGGGTCGTCTGGCCTCCCTCGAAGGTTCACAATCGATGCTACCGTAGCCCATCGGTTCTAACCCGACTGTGTCCCATGTAGCGACAAAAGACGTGATATTCTGAACGTTCTTTGATGAGTTGCAGCTGTTGGCATGACTAGGCCACTTGCTAGAGAATACGGTCATTATTCGGCGGGGAATGCCCCTAGGGGGGGGGCGCGCGGGGGGGGGGTACTCACGTAAACGCATGCCTTATTCGTTGGACATTTGGGGCGGTGAGGAGAGGGGCGCAAGGAAGAAACAAGAGGCGGAAGAGAAGACCAAGCGCGAGACGTGGCGGTATTTCGCAACATCCACCGAACCCCCGTCGTGCTCTCAACACTACGGTAACTCTCCCCCTTCACCTCGTCAAGACCCACAGCACACGACACACAGCGCATAGCTCCTCTCTGAGAAGAATCCCCCCCCCCCAGCAGCTCAAAAACAGGTCAGGTCACACAAACGAGGGGGGTGACGATATGGTCACTACAATACACCTATTTCTGCGCCGAGGTAGCGCCGTGGGCACCGCGTCTCGGGAGACAAAGGTATGTAAGACAAGGCTCCATTCCCTCGGGGGCTGCACCCGCTGCCGCCGTTGCTGCTCTCTTTCGCACACACACACACTGCTGCTACCGTATCTGTCCTTAGTCCGGAGAACAGCGTAGACTCCCCCACGATGCCGCTTCGCGGGGTCCCAGATCATTGCCTTTAGAAGAAGCATTTTCTGTTTTCAGCCGCACTGAGACTAACGTATTTTCATTGATCAGCCGGTTAGCGCAGCAAATAAACACACACACACACAAACACACACCCATGCTGCCCCCTCACGGGGTCCCAGTTCATGGCAGATAGAAGTGTTTTGTGTTTTCAACCGCACTGAGACTGACGTCTTTTCATTGGTCAGCCGGTTAGCGCGGTCGATGCTAATAATAGTAACACAAACACCTTCCGCTCGTAACCCGATCGGGAAACCAACCAATCAAAATCAAATGACCAACCGAGGACGACGCACCACACGATGATGGTAGACGTCTCGTCCAGGTAGGACAAGTCCACGTCGTTGTCGAGCACCGTCGATCCGTAGGTCACGTCCGCGCCGGAGGTCTCACTGACGGCCGCGGGAACTGGGGTCTGCAAGACAGCAGTAATGGGGTAGCGGCAAGGGCGGCAGGGGGCATTAGGGACGGAAGGGGGTCACCAAGGAACAGCCCAGGAAAATGTTTGCGAAATGAACGTGAAACGCTAAGAAAATGGATGATTCTTCGTGCGTGTGCACGGGGGTGCAGCAAGTAAATACACGCACGCCAACGCAGGTTAGGTCAGGAGATATCAACCAGTCCAGGGAGAAAAGGACTGCTGTGCATCTCGCGACCAGGCAAGAGAGAGAGAGAGAGGGAGAGGGAGGAAGGGAGGGGGGGAAGGTCAAAGGAGTGGTGGGGCATGTTGTTCCGCTACGCGTACTCCCACCATGCGCACCAGCCGCGCTGCGTGACAACCCAGACGGTAACCAATCCCCAGCAACAGCAACAACGCCTGAGTATACTAAATAGAGTGTCAGCGGCTGAGTGCACAGAGGTTGGTCGGTGTTTTTCTAGAAATACAAGGCTCCCTTCCTTCTCTCGTGCTTGCCGTGTCACGTTTCTATTTAGAGACATTTTTTCGTCACTCTTTTGTGGCCAACAGTTTTTGCCCACCGCACCGCACCACACCACTTGCAGTATCGTACGTGCGTCATCGTCATCCTCATCGTTTTCTTGCAAGTTGCAAGCTGCAAGCACCCCTTACCGAGGAATGCCATACTGCCGCTGCTAACGTTCGGCCCGCGGTCGGAGCATCAGACGTCAAGTCAACAGCCGCGCCGGTAACAGTCCCGCCACCAACCCGTGCGCTCGACGGTGGCACTGTCTCCGGTGCTTTCGTCTGTTTTTTTTTTATGATATATTTTTCGGTTTCATTTTTTGGATGTAGAGGTGATTCGGCCGGCGTGTTCCGAAGAAGAAAATATTTCGGCAGGGGGTGCAAAAAAAAAAAGAAAAAGAAGGAAAGACAGCGGCGGCGGTGGCAGCAGCAACAACAGTAGCAGCAGCAAGCACAGCGGTCGCTCAGCCTCGTCGTCACAGAGGACGATGAGGAAGGAAGGGGGGCTGATCGTATCGTACGGGCGCGATTTAGCCAGAGGATGGCCCACCCTCACTCACGGTGTACCGCTAGAACGAGCTAGTCACACGGGAGCAGCAGGATCACATTCAACAGCGCTTGTGGCAGTAACACGATCGAGTGCGAATCGCTTTTATTTTTTTGTTGTCTACCAGGAGAAGCAACATGGTCAACCACAACGCCGCAACAACATAACAGAACCCCTACGTACGTATTTGTATTAGTGGCATTGTCCTTGTCCTCCGTTCTATGCACACAGTCTCATGCTTTTTTCTCCAATTTTGGCGGCATCATTGTTCACGCTAAAAACAAAACTGGTCTGTGTTCCTCACCCATTTCACCGCCACAGGGGGCTCCGTGACTGCTATCGGGGCCGGGGTCACCTCGCGAACCGGCGCATTGGTTGGTGACACCGTCACTGGCTGCTGCAATTTTTGGTGTGTGTGTGTGGTGTGTGTGTTGTGTGTGGAGTGTATTCGGTTGATGAGTACACGATATTTCGACGATAATTTTTATTCGTGTGTGAATATTCGTTTGATGAGAACATTATTTCGACCACAAGCAGCGACAACGACCGACCGCGCGACAACACACCGGAGGCTTTTTCTGCGCTTGTCCAATGGACCAATTTCGAAGCATCACCTACGTACGTACATACGAAACGCAATATCTACTTCGACGACAATGGGTGTCGGTTCTCGGCCATCCAATCACTCAGGCGAACCAAGGACAACCAAGAGTCGGTAGCGAAGCTAAGCTAAGCGGCACCCTACAAAAAATGTGCCAGTTTCGCTGCCTTGCGGTTAACACGAGGCTAGGCTTGCGGCAATGCGGGATACCGGGGGAAGCGACTGAGAAACGTGAGCACCAAAAGCATGCAGAGGCACCTCCTCCTTAATGGTTCTGACAAACGCTAGCTACCCGTCGGATTATTTCCTCCACGTTATCAGATTGTTGGGGACGGAAAGCACTCACGTCCGTTTTTCAATATTTTCCTGAAAAAAAACTCCGAAAGCTTCTTCGGCTACATACAGTACCCATTCGTACTGTGCCTCGCTCCCTTACCGCGGTAATCGGCACGGGGGGCTCCGTGACTGGGATCGGGGCCGGGGTCACCACCATTCCTACCGGCGCTTTGGTCGGCGGGACCGTCACTGCTGTCACTGGTTGCTGCAATACGCGTTCGGTGTGTTGAGTTTTTGTCACAGATTCAGGTTTTCAACGACATGTACAGGCGACAGCAGCGCGACATCACGTGTGGTAGTCTTTCTGGGGGTATTGTTGTTGTCGTGCGTGTCGGAAACACAGCTCTCGTTGTTTCCTGCAACAGACAAACGCTCTTGACTCTCGCAATTCGCAAGAATGAACGCGGTGAAACTAGAAAACAGGCGGCTTCAGCCGCACCACAAAAGAACTCAGGTACAACAATGCACAGGAGTAGGCAAACTTGGCCGGACGAGCGTACGACAGATCGGGGTACAAACAACAAAGAGGCTTGCAATTCGCGGTGCCCCTTTTCGCCACCACCGTGACGCGACGATCATCAACACAACCATAGCCCGCGCGTCCTGCACCTCGCTAAGGACGGCAAAAAGCACTGCTGTTGCGGTTTCCACCGCTGGTTGAAAACACCGCAACAACAACAAAAAAAAAACGCTTCCCGCCGTTTCTCAGAATTGTTAACCCTCTCCACGCGCGCTGTCTGTTCCTTACCGCGTTAATCGCTACGGGGGGCTCCGTAATTGCGGTCGGGGCCGGAGTCATTGGCGAGGTGGTGGTACCACTGCCTCTCGTTGCTGCGTTTCTTGTTGAGTTTTTTCACGTGTACAAAGGTTTCAACGGGAGAAAAGGAGGCTATGCGTACAACACATATATACATTTTCTGTCTGTGCCAATTGTAGCTTCACCCAAAAACAGTTACAGTTATACATGGTACAAGCTGGAAGGCATGCTGCCTTCGGGGGGGGAGGGGGGTGGTAGGGTCGCGTACAGTACAACAGTATCAGACAATCCTTGGCTACCACACTTTCTTTGCTTGCTTTCAATGTAGTACTGTAGTTCTCGGGGCAAA